CGCTTTGTCCAAAAAATATTGTTTTAAATTTTTTCGTGAGACTCCAATCTACAATCAAAAGTCCAATAGTTTTTCTTCGCCGTTTCTATCCAAAAGGTGACAAAATTTATGTTTGGATTAAATTCATCTTAAATATTCTTTGCAAATGTGATCTGCGCACAACGTCTAAATTTGATTTTGACGTTTGCACTGACTTCGTCCAAAGTCTTCGTCTTTTTCGAATATTTTTTTATTCTTTTTGTCAATTTACAGTTTTTAATGCAAAGCACACTTTTGTTTAGGAATAAAAGGCTTTTTAATAAAATTTGTAGTATTTTATTGTTCAAATTCAAAATTGGATCCCTTTTGAACTATAGTTTTTTAAGTCAAGCAAGCCGAGAATGTAGTGAATGAAAGCCGTACTAATATTTTTTTGGTATATTAAACCCCAAAGTCACACTGTATATATAAAGGGTATTATTTAAAATTTATTCACATAAATGACTGTTGATCTTTCGCTAATAATTCGCAAAGTAATTTTTTTTTAATTTTTTGGGTCTATAAACTAATTTGGTCCTTATAATTTTATTTTTATCATTATTATTTAATAAGTTACTTACATATCTTCGTGTTAAGCCTTATTTTTATATTTGTTTTAATTATCGTTGGTAAACTGTAGAAAAAAACATAAGAGGCTATTTAACTTTTTAATAAAAATGTTTAGAATATTTTATTCTACTTTAGTACGATTTTTAGGTTGTTTCCTTAAAAATAAAACTTGATGAGCATAAAACTTTTTAACTAAATATATAAAAAATTGTTTTTAACAAATTTGTAAGGAATCAAATAAAATTTGCTTTGTAACTTTTTGACCTATTATCAATAGTTTTTTTTAGATTTAAAAAATGCGCAATATAAAAATATAAAATATAATAATATAAAATATATCTTTATATTATATATAATAAGTAAATATAATGGATATAATAGATAATAGGATCATGAGTCATTTATATGAAAAAAATAGCTACATAGTTTGCAGGAAGAAATAATGAAGTAAACATTTTTGTCTTAAAATTGAAGTTAAAAATTGGGATTTTTACTGAATTTTTATTTCGGCATAATCCATTGAATAATTAACTGTTAGGCATCGGTGATTCGCCGATTTCAATATTCACTGTGATTTGAACCAATCGGGTTTTACATTGAGGAAGGCGACATTTAAAATTTTTAAAAAGTGGAGTTTAGCATTTGACAGGTCTCAGATTTTATTGAATCATTTTTGTAAATCATGTAATTATCTACGTAAAAATGAAACCAGCGTCACAGAGGTGAGATTTGCTAGAAACCTAAACAATAATTAAAATATATGAAAAAATATATTTGTGTCTCCTACAAAACATTCAAAACTTGAAATACAACAACAAAAACTTAAAACCTAAGATAACAAAACCAGGCTAATCTTAAAATAGCAATTTGAAAAAAAAATTGTAACTGTATCCTAATTAATATTTTAAAATAATGATAGATTTGTTCAAAATGAATATTGCTTTCTATTATTTAATAATGGTTGTGGAAAAACACAAACCACATCGTATTTTTTAATAAGAGAAACATCTTCCTTCCTAGGAAGCACAAATTTTTTAGAGCCTGACATTTTTCAGAAAAATATTGGTTACATTCTTGGACCAGTCCAACAAAATGCTGAGTTGCTTTTTTACCAGGAAATTTTACAACTACGAAATCATTTTCTTTCACATTCTGTAGAGAAAGTATCTGAGCATCGTTTTTCGACTTGGTCTTATTTTTCGGAATCTTCATCGCTGTAAACATCAGCAAACCTAATTTTTCTTTTAGCGGAAGAATGAGCTAAAATAGTAAAGTTAAGAAAAAAATAATGTTGCTATTTCAAAAATAATGAAATGAATTTAAGGTTTAAGTTTTAAGTAAAAATAAAGGATACATGTAAATAATTGTCAGAAAACGTAACTTCATGGCACTGAATTGTTCCTTTAAAAGTCACCAGGTCATTGGGCAATTTTTTTCTACGGAATTAAGTTCTTCTGCATCTAACTTTAACCCATAAATTGAGACCCCTTTGCAGTTTTCTTGTAGATTCTTTAAAACACTTTTAAAATCTGACATATCTGTGCCACGAGACACTAGAGAGCCTGCAGTGCGTTTCAAACAGCCGCTCACCCCATCAGGGGCACCTTTTCCATGTCCCTTTTCACTGTAGTGCCACCTGATAGTTTTTGCAAATAAAAGTTGCTGTAGATACTTTCCCAGGGGCGTAGCTACCGCGGTATCAGCCGTATCAATGATACGGGGCCCCCGGCTAGCGGGGCCCCCGATTGGCTTCGACATGCGTAAGCAAAAAACATATTACCCACATGTTAAAAAAATTGAGGCATGAAATTAAATAAATAAATAAATATTAATATTATTTCATTGTTTATACTTCGGTTAATTAAATTAAAAATTTCCTGAATAACCTCCTGTTCTAACAAGGCCGTAAACTCATAGCCTATGCGTTGTCTGTTCTGTGCTTTGTGCCGCATACTGAGTCTGCTTTGCGTGTTATAAATAATTATTAGCGTTACAATTATTTCAAATGACTTGCCTTTATTTAAAAATAGAAACCTTTTAAAAGATGTTAAAAAACGGCAAATGTCTAAAACCAGACCAAATTTTTAAAATTTGCCTGTACATAAAATTCTATGTATACATATATTATTAATTAAATTATAAGCAATTGGTAAATGCAAAAAAATGATCCCCTAATTTTTTTTTTTATTTTGCCCAAAATAGACTTTGGGCATGACATCCAGAAATATTTTTGCCAGGGCCCCTACCATATTTTTGATACTGGGCCCCCTCGAGGCTAGCTATGCCACTGTACGTTCCTATTAAAAAACACATTTTTCTATTGTGATACTGCGTTGCCGGACCGTCGCTTAAAAAATGAACATTGTCTAAACTAAGGATTTTTTTCTTTAATATCTACAATAATCGGTTTCAAGTGTGCACAGATAGCTATGGGATCATGGAGTAAATTTTCAGAAATCGTGCAGTAACATTTCCTTTTCAAAGTGTTGCCTTTTTTAAAATACACTACAACTGTATGTAGGGAAATCTAAGGTTTCGACCCTCCAAAATGTGCAGACTGAAAGTCCTCTGAATATTTACAATTATAATTTTCAGAGAAGTCCATATGAATTAAGACGTCATTTTCTTTAAGGCCTTCTTTAATTTGCTGAATTGCGTTAAATTGATGGTTTATGTTTCTAACGTGTAAAAAATGGTTTTATTGACTCTTTTAACTGTTCTAAAACTTTACCTTTGGTACTTAATTTCTTTTCTTTTCATAAACAATATTTTTTCATCAAATTCAAAGGCAGGAACTATAACATTATTTTTTCAATTGTCACTTTCTTTCCAGAAAAATTTCTTTTACCATTTGGCCTATACAGCAGAGAGTTTTAAAGAAATCTTCCGGCCTATTCATGTATAACTCCGGTAAATTTTAACTTTTGTGTTGGTAAAAAATATTTGCATGTTGCATACAGAGGCAGGTTTTCTAATTTTATAAATTTTTTATGTAGATTTTTTAATGAATCACAAAGAAATCGTTTTTGGTTTTTGATTTTATTTGTTGTCAAGCAGTCCTTTTTTCCAGGACAAAGTTTGCTTGATTCGTCCTTTTCAAGAAATGCTATGAATTTTTTCTTCATGCCAGAGTACGATTCCACCCTCTTGTTGGATCTCAATGACAAAGGAAGAAGTGATTTTTTTTAGATGCCATTGCGTTTTGTATTTTTTTGTAACATCTCCAGAAATAAATTTCCAAAATTTTCGGTTCTCGGTTTTTTTTGGTAATAGTCTTATAATTTTCGGCCAACTGTTTGGAAATTACCTAACAGAAAATTAGATTTTTTTAACCCTTGGTGAAATTATATTTTTTTCTTCTCTAATAAGCTTTTCAACATTTTTTCTTGGCGAGCTTTTATTTGGAGTCTTCTGTAATCTCTCTCTCTAGCCTCATTCTGTATTTCTGGTTTTTTCCTTTTTTACAGTTTTTTAATCTCAGTATTAAGCCTCTTGAGATTCTCTTTTCTACGTAATTTTCCTGCCATCATCTTTATTCGAAGGACCGGGATTTACATTCGGTAATTCTTGTACTATCGGAACAAGAGGAGCATTATGTTCTAATTGAATTTCCATGATTTTTTGGGACTGTTTCTTTTCGTAATACGTTTTGCTCCTCTCCCTTTATGTCATTTCTTTAATTATCTTTATCTTTCCTTCCTCTTTTTTTTGTTACTTTTTGTTTTTCTTCTTCGTAGCTCTAAGTTTTCTCATTGCCTCTTTGTCTTTCTTTTTGATTTTAATGATCTAATTATTTTTTTTAGTAGGAACCATATGTCTGCAACGAGTATAATAATGGGTTTATTTTAAGCTTTTGCTTTCCAAAAACTCACCTCTGTGAATGCCTCTATTCACAGAGGTGAGATTCACAAAAGTGAGAAAATAGACGTTTTTTTAATTTATTATTAACTTGTAAAATTTTATTTAAGAAGAATAAAATGTGAAAAACGAACTAAAACAGTAATTTGTTTGTTAAAATATGTTTTTCCTACCTTTCTATTCAACGTCACAGAGATGTAAAAAGTAAGTGTTCACAAACGCTGCAGCCACGTGTTTTACATTAAAAACCGACAAATCATTTTCTTAGAAGGTAAAACTGGTACTAAAATAATTCTTTTAACTGTAAGTTAGCAAATTTCCATCTAATTTTGACAGTAGTTGATTTAGGCGACACCTATACTAATCCTAAGTTTGTACGCGCTTCACTAAGGTGAAATTGGTAATAAAGAACAAACATTAAATAATTAAAAAATGCCCATATTTTTTTATATTTAAAAAAACAGGTTGGACCCTGTATTTTTTTATTCTACCTGGTATAATTTAAACTAGTAAGTTATTATTTTTCAATAAAACCTTGCGTGAATTTAAAAAAAATGTACACTCTTGAAACGCTTGGAACACTTCACAAAGGTGAGGTTTGGCTGTTTTAAGTGGATAAAATTACAATTTTCAACAAAAAAAAAGAAAAAAAATTAGATATAGATAAGGAATTTTATTCGTAATAATTTGAGGTTTTAATTATTTTAACTTTTTTTAAACTGTGCGGGAACAAGTTTTCTCACCAGCTCATGAGAATCACCCATATATTCATTAAATTACAACAATTAAACGTTTACAATTAAAAATATTTGTAATTTATTAAAACAAACATTAAACAAGTATTTTTATGTAAGGTTAAGTCACTTTTTGTATATAGGTCAGTTGGTTTGAATATTAATACAATTAACAATAAAATTTAAAAAAATTTAGGTTATGTTAGCAATTAAGTACCTAAACCAAATATGACCGGTCTATCGATAAGAAATAAATCAAATGTTTGGCTAATTGGCCAACCAACTCCGCATTTAAGCCAAGCACTGGTGAAGTGATGTTATTGTTTTTCCATTACAAACAAACAAACATTAAAACATACGGTTAGAGACGCTTCGCATTTAACTACTGGTAAGGTCATTAAAATCTGGGAAAAGGCTAACATACCGACAAAACTAAAAAAAGATGTTGTTAGTAAAGTTGAGGGAGTTTTTAAGACCTGGAATAACTTAATAAAGAACAAAAATAAGAAGTCAGAGATCTTACTTCAGAAGCGGAATGACTGGACAAAGTCACTGAAACAACTATTTGACATAGCACACGCAAATGCAATGAATCTAATCTCTCGACAGGAAGATAAGGAATTTTTAAAAGCTCAGAGAGAAACTGGAAGGAGGGGTTATATTGGAAACATCATCTGAATTTGAGCAGGATGTACTTTCACTTAATAACGATCCTTGCTATTCATACTCTATTAAAAAAAACAAAATGTGATAATAAGATTACTAACATTATGAACGAAAAGTTGTCCACAAGTTTGGATGCTGCGAAATTAAGTGATATAAAGTCAGCATTGGTTTTAACTGCGGTAGTCCAAGCAATTGGACAAGATCCAGAAAAATTTAATGTAAGATATTCTGCAATAAGAAAGAATCCAAAAAAAAATAGAAAAAGAATGTCTTAAGAATAAATTAAAGCCCAATGTTGTGCTAACCGTTCATTGGGATGGAAAACTGTTAGAAGATATAACTGGAAAAACTGTGGTGGATCGTCTTCCCATAATAGTTTCAGGAGAACGGGTAGCTTAACTTTTAGGGGTTCCAAAATTGCCAAATGGAACAGGATTGTCAATTTAAACTGCAGTCTACGATGCTACATTAGCTTGGGAAATCGATAACAAAGTAAAATGTTTAGGATTTGATACCACCTCGTGGAACACGGGAATGAAAATTGGAGCCTGAACATTGATTGAAAAAAAAATGAAAGGATTTGCTATGGCTAGCTTGCCGACACCACATCCTGGAAATAATGCTGGAAGCTGTTGTAATTAAATGTATTGGTCCATCTAGTGGTCCTGATATTTTATTATTTAAAAGGTTTAAAAAATCATGGCCTACAATTTGTAAAGATGACTTCCAAACTTTAAGCAGTTTACCGGCTGGTAGTTCTGCTACCCTTTTGAAGGATACTGATTTTCTAGTTAGCTCTTGCCGCAAAAAGCTCGAGGTGTTTCCGCCTCGGGATGATTATAAGGAACTTTTGGAGTAATCAATTATTTTCTTGGGGATATCCCTCCCAATAGAATTACTTTTAAAGCTCCTGCTTACATAGAGCCAAGTAGATTGCAAAATGTATTTATTCATATATTATATCACGAGAACTATGAATTTAATCGGTTAAACTAGGCTCAGTAGTTTTTTGTTTGGTTTTTGTTGGAAAATGTTGAATGCAAAATAATTTAATAAAATCACGAGACCGCGTAGCGGTCGAGGGGTTTTATTTTTAATTATTTTGCATGAAACTATTTTCCAAAAAGAAAAATCAAATAAAAAACTTACTAAGCATAGTTTGACTGATTAAATTTATAGGTTGAGTGATATACGTCTAGATTATTTCTTGAATTAAAGGAAACTATTTGACAATTCATAAAATCTGACGTATGTGTCAAAATTTATAAATATTTTTTTAAAGAAAATTCCATTAATTTAATGTATGTAATAAGTAATAATTGATATTTCGTAAACTAGATAACTTATTTTTTATTGTTTTTTAAAAAATGTTTGTTAAAACTTGTAAATAACACCATAAAATCGTAAACAAAAATCCAATATGGAGGCTAAAATTTAATCGTTGTTAAATAGTTCTAGTGATTTAATCGCTTATTTAAACGAAATTGATTCGAAAATTCAAGGCTTTTGATTGGTTCATATTATATATGATCAGTAAAAATTTGTAAGTAAAATTAACCAAGAATGAATTTAATGGATTTAATGGAATATTACAAATTTGCTTGTTTACGGTGCAGTTGTATATTTAAGCATGGTATACAGCACAAAGCGCTATTTCTGCTCCACGAAATAACTTACAACTTTTAAAAAATCTTAAGCAGTATAGACAAAAAAATTATGGGTCATTTATGGTATTTTTCGGAAGAGTTGATAGCCCTTGCCTTTTTTGATGAAGAAGTTTCTTCTTTCTTCATTAGAACGCAAAGGGGACAAAATTCAACTTGATATTGACAAAATACTGACAAAAAATCTACAAGATTTTGTCACATCAAATACTAAACGTTTTATCGATATTCTTGATCTTCCCTCAAAATTTTCTGCAGATGGATGTATCGAAATGGAAACATGATGACGACTACCAATCAGCAAAGGCTACGGTATCAAATCTAAAAGGGGCGTGGCATTAATGGATGAATATAACAAACTGCATACGACTGACGAAGAACAAAAACAGTTCTTATTGCTTACAATCCAACGCAAGGGAACTTCAAATTTTAATAAAAGTATATTAATGCAACTATAATAGTGATTATTTTGAAGATCCGGTCGATTAATTTAAGTAAGCTAATGTCCTTTTTATATTTAAGCAAATAAACTGTTTATTACATACATATATATATACATATGGGTGATTCTACAAAAGTTGGGCAACTTTTGACCTTATTTTGTTTATAAAGTTTTCGGAGAAAATTAAAAAGTATTTTGTTATGAGAACATGGATAATATAATAAATATACTGTTCCAGACCGGGTCAGTCACTTTTTCAAACAGTTTCTGAAATATCTGTGTTTTCTAAATTTGAATTCAAGGAAGTGACGAGTATACCAGGGTACTAATTTAATACATAATTTATTGGAAAATATAAGATTTATTGCAACTTTGACCATATTATACATTAAATATCCTAAAATCAAATAATACCACACACCAGAGGCGGCTGGTGGATTTTGGGTATACCGATATCTCAATTATTACATATGGGACCCACACCAAATTTATATGAGTTTATAATGATATTAAATAAACAAGTTCTGGATTTCTAGAATTTAAATTGAAGTTTGCAAAAAGAAGATAACCGAAACATCGGACATGGAACTGACGACACGGTACTGATGAATGGGGTACAAATTTGAGATAATAATTCGGAATTAGGTATTTTACCAATATTTTTATTAGTGGATACCAAAATCCACACAACAAGGTCTGTTCGATCTCGTACTAAAAATACTAAAAATCACTGCAACACTGCACATCATACAATGGCGGCCATTTTTGTTGTTTACAATTCTTGTACTTTGGGTTTGTACATATTAATAATCGTTTTAAACGTTGTGTTTCTTACAAAGAGACTTGCAAGCCTTAAAAGAGACCTCAAAGTGGTAAGAACAATCATTTTACTCTTCTTTTGTAAAAAATAAACCTTATTCTATCAGGGCTGTCAAATGTCAATTGGAAGGTTAATTTGTGGGTTATAAAATAATCTTATATATATATATATATAACATAATGAACAAAATTTTTGCTATTACTAAACGAAATTCTAATAAAGCGGATTTTCGGCCCACCCTAATATATATATAGTATATATATATATATATATATATATATTCAACAATATTTAACAATTTACAAATATAAAAATAAGTAATAATATATGCAAAACAATATTCTCTGAAATTTATTATATTAAAATAAAGAAAAGTTAATTTTTAAATAAAAAGAATGAACTAAATTTCATCTAAGAGTTTAAAATTAAAATATCTAAAAATCTGTAGAAACTCCAAGCTACTATAATAAGTTTAAATTTTTTTGAACAGTTTATTTGGCCGGAATAAAATATTAACAATTTACCATTAGTTTTTAAACAAATTTTGGAAAAAAATTAAAATAAATTTTGATATTTGCCTAAAACTCTAAATTTATAATAGCTAAAAATCCATAAAAATTCAAAGAAATAGCCATTATTATTAGGTAGCAGGTTTTGTTACATTTGAACAAAAAAATATTACATATTAAAGTAAATAGCCTTTTATTCTTAACACAAGTGTGCTTTGCATTAAGAATGATTTTTGTCTATTTTTATACCTAGAAGAGCAAATAGAAAGGAAAAAGCAATATTATATTATAATATTGCTTTTGCCTTTCTATTTGCTCTTCTAGGTCTCTATAGTTGATAATGATATTGGTATTGTGCTTTAAGAATAAATTTCTAATGTTTGACACCGTTACATCTATCAATGTTGTTTTCTTGTTATTTTTCTCGACAAGTATTTATATTAATTATTTTATAATATTGGTTTGAGTATGTACTTGTACTATGGAATCTTCTCTGTTGGAAGAAGCTTTAACTGTATAGCAGAGTCATGTCGGTCTTTGTACTTTGTCAGGGAAAAAGTTTGGAATCCTCAAGTTATATGATGATGACACTTATCCCAATGTTAACCAGTAGTTGTGACACTTTTTTTATCACCTGCGTTGGCATCTCCTCCGTGTAGTGGCTTTTTTCAGGTTCGCATCTTCTATTGGTCAGTGGTGTGATGAATTGGCACCTCGATCACTCAGTCTAAATAGTGTAGTCATCGGCCTTGAATATCACATGTTGTAAAATGGATTCTTTAAATTTTTGTAAGAAGTCATTTCTTAAAATGTCAATCTGGCCATCTTTTCTCTATAATGTCTTTTTAGCGTTATATATTTTATTACTATTACTATTAATAATATTGCATGTAAAGTTTTTTTTTCTTCTTTTAGGTAGACTAGTTGGAGACGTGTTGTTAGCTACAGGATTTCTATCCTATTGTGGACCATATAATCAAGAATTTAGAGCAAATCTTGTTAAAACATGGATGGGAGTATTGCAAGTTAAATGTGTTCCATTTACAACAAATTTAAATATTATTAACATGCTAGTAGAAAGTTCTACAGTATCAGAATGGACACTACAAGGGCTACCAAATGATGAATTATCTGTACAAAATGCGTTAATTGTTACAAAATCCAGATCATATCCCCTATTAATAGATCCTCAAACCCAAGGAAAGATGTGGATCAAAAACAAAGAAAACAATAATAATTTAAAAATTACATCCCTTAATCATAAATATTTTAGAACCCATTTGGAAGATTGCTTATCATTAGGTAAACCATATAGTTATGTATTTATTTTGGTTTTAAAATAAGTTGGTTTGTTAAAATCAGAGGATAGTCTCTGATTTACCTTATTATGTAGGTGGGTCGTTATTTTTTCATCGACAATTACATGTGTCCTCGAAGTATTCTTCCGTTCTACGTTTTTTTTTAATTTGGCCTTTATAATATAATATAATATATGTATATACAGTCCCACTGAAAACTGAAACTGATAAACCTTAAAAGTATAATCGTTCAATAAAATGTAATACCTGTTTAGAAAGTTAAAAGGGGGAACCAAAACAGGGCACTTTTTAACTCACATCGACCTACCCCAGCGGGGGTAGCCCCCCTAACCTAAAAATCTTCAATGACACTATAGGTCATGGAATACCTTGTTTGAAAGTTCTTTTAATCCTTTAAATAATTCTGCAAAAAAAAATATGTTTTCTGTATTTTCAAATAAAATTACATTTAAACTGGTCCGATAATTATAATAATAATAATTATAATTATAATTAATAGTCATTTCGACTTAAAATATTTTATATATTAATTAATTAAATGTTAAAAATGTTATCGATTATTTTAAAGACAATAGTAAAGACGACTATTAAATTCTTGTCGAAGTTTTTTAAAAGTTTCGGGTGTGATATTTCAGCACGCTTCAACCATGTCGTAGATCTGGTAGAGACTCAGTTGAAGTCTGACAAACTAACGATTTAATGTATCTCCATAAATAAAAGTTCAAAGGGGTTAAATCTGGTGATCTTAGGGGCCACTCTAATGGTCAGGAAAACGCAAGATAAGCCAATTTCTGACTTGTTTAAAGTTAAGGTTCTTCCCTTTAAATATCAGGTTTTCATCCCTATCTCTCTGATCTTCGAGTTCCTATGTAATTAATACATCAATGGTATCTTCTAGTAAATTTAAGTAGTTATCTCCAGTTAGATTTTCTTTACTACGGAAAATGTGCATTCGTTGCTAAAACTAATATTTTTAATAAGTGTAGAATCTTTGTTTTTCTCTCCGTCATAATTTCACAAAACTTAAATCTTCGATACTCTCCAAACAGAGGCCTGTTTCTTTAGATGCTTGCCGAAATGACATAGAAGGGCAAATTGCAAACTG